AATATGCTGTTTAGGTGCCACTATGGTAAAGGTACTTTTAGAGATAAGGTCAAAATTTCTGAACAAATCTCAGTGTTCACTTAAACACTTGAAATACAGTGGAATTTCAAATGCGTTCGGCGGGATATTCAAAGTTCTGCAATGAAGCCCATTTCGTTGGATAAAGTGAGGTAGGACTATCGAAGGCTGATGCCGAGCTCGAGGCAGCTTTGCGGTCAGCAAGTGAACTTTCTAACCGGAAGGACCGTGGATTGAATCCTCTCGCGGGATCTCGACTGCTCCTGCCTTGGCTTGGGCAATCTGAGAATATCTCTGTACTCATGCTTCTTTTGAAGGAGGGATGACAGCAAGGCATCGGAAGGGTAGTATGGCAGAACCACTGTGTTGTATTTTATATCAGAGGCATAAACCTGTCAACTGAAGGTCTTCACAAGAATCACTAATACTTACTAATACCCCTTTTTGGCATTATCTGTGGAAATAAGACGTAATAACCCCGAGTTTCGGTCAAGTTTATGTTCTACTTGAACCCCAATTGGACTGTTATGAAAATATACTGCGATATCTCGAATATCGTGCCAACTGAAACATGAGGCAGCCTGTGTGCAGCACACTCAGTTGGAGGACACCATAAACGAGAGATTCAATTGAGTCTCTCGTGAAAACCAAACTGATTTGCAAATGAGTGTATTTCTCGAAGACAGTCCAATTTGGGTTCAAGTAGGACATAAGATTGACGGAAACTCGGGGACTGCGCCTACCTGCTGTCGAAGAGACTTTAGCAACCTGAGCCCAAAGTAGAAGGGCGAAACCGGTCGTGGGCTGTCGACGAATTTTCAGAAACCTTGTGAGTAGTTTCCTTTATGAAAATATACTGCGATATCTCGAATATCGTGCTAACTGAATGGTGCAGCACTTTCAGCTGTAGAATATCATAAACGAGAGATTCAGTTGAGTTTCTCGTGATAACCAAATTGATCTGCAACTGAGAGTATTTCTCGAAGACTTTCTGACGTTTTAGATTATGAGTAATATCTTGAAGAAAATACCCCATTTTACCACCGTAATTTAATACGAAAGAATCCTTTCGGTGAATTTTTCGGGGTAAAATGACAACCAAATAACTAGACATTTACCTAATGGTCTCAAAAAAAACGTTTCCGAATTGATCGCTTTGTATTGGAGAGAATCAATAATAACCATAGTTTATTTGAATGTGCATCACGAGTGAGTATTCTTCCAAGAAAAGAGCCTCAAATTTAGTTGAACTTGGATAAACAGATCTCCTTCAAAGTTGTGTGGTTCTGTGGAGAGATCAGATTGGACAGCCAGGCGGCATATTTAAACACGGTATCGTTTGACTACTCAAGTAAAACGACAGTGAAAGGTGTTGATCTGGATGGCGCTAATGGGGCTTATGCTACTGAATCAGTACTGGGACGCGTTTAAGAGAAAGAGAATGGAAGAATGAGGGATGAGAATCGTCCGTCCCATGAAACTGTCATTGAAGGAAGTCTATGCAAGTACGTGAGTGAACCATAGTGCGACCAAAGTTGGCATGTTTGATGTGGGGGCGCACTTGGAGCATAGGCTAAACCGTGTCAAACATGCCTTTGGACTAAAACAACCTCGAGGAGTGGTATTAAACGGCGACATCTCAAATTACTCTGAGAAGTTCGGTGCAAAGTGAGTACAATTCTGCCGGATTCTAGAACATGTGAGCTTTAAGTTACTGTCCGACAGATCCACGTGCCCAAAGTCCTGGAAAAGTACATTGATAGCACAGGGAAGACCAAAAATGCTGCATTGTTTTCTAGATTATTGAAAAAACACAGGACAGGGAACTGTCATTTCTCTCCATTTCAGAGGAAGAGAGTGCGAATTCAGTTCATTAGAAAGGACTTGGCACAATCTGGCCTCCAGCAGAGGACCGATCAAACTCACTGGGTTGACTGCCGGGCTTATTAGAGCTGTAGGCTCGCACATCGTCACTATAGAAGGTGAAGGTGCAAAAGGAATAAAAGAACGCTTTGAAATACATCAGTTTCACATGGGGCAGAAGAAGAAGATTATTCTACAAGTTTTTTTTAATCGTGAGTGAATTGAAAACGAATCACAGAGTTCAATACAAGGGATGAATGAGGACTACTGAATGAGATCTGAATGACATCCAAGAAGAATTGTCCACAGACTGGAATAAAAGCGGATAAAAAATCAAGAAATAAGCATCGAACGACGGAGTTCATGGAGAGATTACGCAATCATGACACAATTTCTAAGACTATGGAGAACAAAGTGGATTTGGTGAGACATCTTTTCCATGATCTTTAACATGAATGTGAAAAGAGTTTATTTGAACCCAGGAATGATCCTAATGTAAACGATCTTTTACAATTAAAGCTGACTAAGACTTTTACACCGCAATTTATCGATTGGTTAGAAAGTCTAGAGCAATACATCTCAGTAGTTGAGATGGAAAACCTCAAGCACAAGTACGAACCCATGGGATGTGCGTACGAACTTTGAAGGGGTATCCACACCAGGAATCTACTGACAGGTAGAATAAAAGGGTGAGCGGAAAAATCCAGAATTCACTACATTTAGAACACAAAAGTTTAGGCCATTGACAGACAGTCGGCCAGTGCTTAAACACTAGATGGAATGCTGCGGTTATGAGAGTTCCTGAGTTCAGTGATAAGCGCACTGCTGAAGACTCTCAGCGATTTGAGCAGTTCTTCGCACCTTTTCGGTATGGACTGGGTTTACTGAAAGGATGAGGCCTTCATTGAAAATATTATACCGGTATCAAAGCTCACGTGGTTTCAAACATCCAATGAAGACTGTTGTAGTCCCTACACCAATAGGCCCCTGGTCGCGGCTCGCATTCCAAGGTTACACGCGTACCGTTTCAGCCATGCCAATCGTTTTGGATGTGAGAAAGTAAACAGCTGATTGCACAATATAGATTTTTTGCAAGGCCATACTGGTTGGATAGATTTGAACCAAGACTGTAAAAACGGGAGTATAGATAATATGGGCATTCGTCAGAGATTGTTGTTTGACTGGAGACAAAAAGCTCCAGAACGATGGTAATGTGAGGTGATTCGGTAATTTCCATTTGAAATTTCGTCTTGTCAGTGAAGTTCATCTGGGCTGAAAAACCGATCAGCTGTTTCACCATTATCGGGGATCGATAGCAGCGCGCATTTCATGAAATCCGAGGGAGTCGCGAACCCGCGGCCTCCTGACCCGTGGCATGAACAATTTATGTTCCGGCCACGAGTGGCTCAACACCAGTGTGATTAACTCGCACCTAGACATGGTAGAGCGTTATAATGCCATCATTTATGGAGACGACATCACTTGACCACATGTTGACCAGCCCCTTGAGTGGCGACTTCTCAGATGTACGTTTCCCTCGTCTTTTGAAACTGTTCTCCATCAAACGTACTTTCAGGCTGATGGTAGTTTGAGGGGACTCGGTGATTTTCAGTCGGAATTCGTCCTACAAGTGAGGCCACTTTGTGCTAAAAACCCGAGAATCCTCAGCAGTACGCGTCCTACGAAACCCCGGGAAGCTCCCAAAGTGCGACCGATCGGCGGCCTTCAGATGCATTATGCACATCGGGGTGGCTCACCCATTTGTGTTCCGATGACGGAGGATTAAACGTTTGCAAGCCGGTTGTCAAGCTCGATGAATAGTTCAATGACAACCTAATGAGCCACCGGTAAAGACATCCGAGATACCAATATGTCGATGCACTGCCAATGGTGCTTCATGTTGCAAGCCTACTAGGGCTGATCAAACGCCGTCGTTTTGATATTAGCAAAATGAGGCAACCAGTTTGATCAACTGATGACTGTTGATGAAGTGTAAACGACCGAAAATTCAACTGCACCAAGAAGATCACAAGTAGATCTCTTTTTTTAAAGAAACTCGCCGATCGAATTCCAAGGGTATCGATTGAAATTTCGTTCCAAATCTGTAGATGATCAGTCTTAACTGCAGAATTCGCCGGGACATTTGAATTTGCTTAACCTGTACTTTTTTTCTCTCCCAAATGAAATAAAACAAATACGAAAACTAAAATGAAGGGCAAAAAAGACTTTACTGTCAAATTGAAAGATAAGATGAGAAGTCTGACAAATCTGAACTCTAGCATGGTACTAAAAGTGCCTGATGAAAGGTGCTGAATATTGCTATTGGTTACCGGCAGACGTGACCAACCAGATGCTGACTCGACTGCAGTCCGGATCGCCGTTCTCGGCAGAACTAAACAGTTCTGTCAGATACCAGACTTTGTAGCAGCCCTCCGAGACCTTCAGTAGGAATCCAGCATTAGCGGGAATATCAGCCCTAGAGAGCCGGTACCCTAATCAAACCGCCGTTAACACTGTCATCCCCATCATTATTATCCTCTTTATCACCTCATCATGAACAAAATTGTCGACGCTAGCACCACGATTACTTTAATCATTCTCCTCCTCGCCGTTATCATTATCATCATCATAATCATCATCATCCTAGTACATCAGTATTTTAAATCAATATTCCAGCCTCGACTGAAGCGACTGAACTTTGTTTAAGCGTTCCAGCAATCACAGTTTGGGCGCAAATACTTGCTGGAGAAGGATGATAGAATGAAGAAAAACGAAATTCCTTAACCCAGAATGTTGGTAAGCCACCATTCATTTGGATCAATCTTCCCATTTCGGTATTATGGAAACCTGTTGGTTTTGTCTACGTTTTTAGGACACACACCTTAAAGTGCCTGTTAAGTTGTGAACTCTGTGCGTCACGTAGTGAATGAACTCTTCCAGGTGGTTTTATTCAAAAGAGTAAGACCATTTTTATTTGACCTAAGCGCTTGTCGTGATGTGGCACGTTCTGCCATCCTTAGTTTGATTGGTTATCACGTCGACCAATCAGAGAGCAAAGCTGGATGTGATTCAAGCAAGCAAGGCCGTCGCACAGTCGCATTGTGTGAATCAGGCGTTATGCAGGATGTTGTCTGGGAAGCTAAAGGAAGAAGTCCACTGCCCTGGTTGTCAGCAAATATTCCAAAATCCTCTACTGCTTCCTTGTGGACATAGCGTATGCGTCGCATGTGCTAATCGTTTGTGGTTTCCGATGACTTGGCCAGGAAAACAATGTCCTGTGTTAAGCGCGGACGATGCCGTCAGTGAAGCAGATTCCGGGGTGGTTGTTTGTTCAACCGAAAGTACAGGAAGTTTAAATCATACAACAACAACAACTATAAGCACAATCAGTCCACGAGAATGTTGCCCCTCATGCTCAACCATACCAAAACTTCCTGCGGAAAACCTAATAGAAAGATATCCAACAGCTCAAGATTGGTGGCCCAGAAATGTGGCTTTGGAAAATCTGATATATCGCCTGTCTGAACTGAATTCAAACGGAAGTAAGGAGCTTGTCAACAGACCACAGCCAAATGCCTTTCGCCAATGTCATTTGTGTGAATCCAAACCAGCCGGTGTCCCTGCAGTTTCTTATTGCGAAAACTGTCATCTTGCGTACTGTTCTCGCTGTGTCACTAAATGGCATCCAAACTCAGGGTTGCTTTCACGACATCGAATCGCATCTGTAACTGAACAGGGTTTGTCATCCACATCCAGTATACATAATATATCCCAGAGTGAAACAGTTCAGTGTTCAGACCACCCGGATCGTTCTTGTCGCCTATACTGTCTGGACTGCAACTTGCTCGTATGCACACAGTGTTTGCAAGATCCAGTCGAATCCAGGGCGCCATTCCAATCAAACTGTTGCCTTGACAAGACCATCGTGTTGACACCTATGACCAATGGTTATTCCACACCACAAGTTCAGTGTTGGGCTAGCACCAATGGCTCGGCGAGTTTCGGGTTAACAAACAGTTCGCACTCTGGACACGTGATCTGCTCAGCAACCGTTCAAGCAAAGCGGTGCAAAGTGAGTCAGTTTTATGTAATTGCCTACCTTCGAAGTGAACTTTTGGAACGGATGAGATGCGAGGAAAGGCAACCAACTCGAATCCACTGTTAATTAAAGATGACTATACTCCCTAACCAAATAGCGGATAGCCAATAACAACATGAATTCCTTGGCCGAATGAATTTTACGGCTATTCATCGTTCAGCTGTGGCGCCTTGTCGATGCCTGACTGCCATGCCACCCGAAAGAAGCAACTGCCTGACTGCCATGCCACCCAAATGAAGCAAGAGGCCTGAGATACTACCAGGGTTTCCATCAGAGGTCGGGTTCGAACCCCGACTGACCTTCCGGTCAGTGAATTCGCACTCTAACCACTGAGCCGTCTCGCCCCACGGCTATTCATATCTAAACAAATATATGCAATAATTAAATAAATGATTGACTAGATAAAGCAATAGATAATAAACAAAAAACGGCTGATTTTCCGCTTCTTTCTTGTGATTTTGACCAAGCTGTGCCGAGCTGTTGAAACGAAGTAAAAGGCTTTTTGAGAACGTCAACAACAGGCACTTGAAGATATATCCGATACACCCGAAAAGACAACTCTGAGATATGTGGTATGCATCTGTGCTAATCTGAGTATAGGTAACTTGCTCTTTTGATGTAACGTCACTTACCTCTCACCTGAGCGCACGATCCTGAGTAACTTGGTATCGATTGGTGAGTCCAGAAGTGTAGATATTCGTCAAAATCAACCCATCTGTTAATAGATCTTGTCGGATTTTCATCCACAAAGTCATTTATCTGAAAACTGGTATGGTAGTGTGACTGAAGGACAGTGAACTGGTGGACTGCAGCTGGATCGCTAAATGCACGCCCTTCTGGAGGGATTGTCTGAAGAGATCAGCCAGAGATTGTTTGTTTTGGATAATCGTATGCGTTGACTACGAGGAAGCCATTCAAAGTTATGTGATCCTATGACTGTTTTTTGAATTACTTGAGGCTGCGGTTAAGTCCCCCCCAGTTGACCCTATTTTGTTGTTCTCCACTCACGAGTGTATCCCTTTCGTTAGCTTGGGGGTCTCCGTTTGGACAGACACCGGGCTATGCCCACTGAGAATGTGGCAAATTAGAACATGACTCTCCAACTACTAGGAGAAAAGCCACCAATAGAAATGTGAATCAAATTCGCAGCAAATCCAATTAGATCATCTCGTATAATGTTTCGCGAATGCGTTTTTCTGCTGCACCCTGGGTGAGCCTCCGTAAGTAACCAGTCTCATCATTAGGGGAACAAGTATCACATTTGTTAGACGAAGTTTATGCCACAGATGAGAAACGAATTGCTCCCCACCCCCACCTTCATTTCTGGACAACAACTGGCCATTTCTGCTTCTCTAGGTTTTCGCCACCATTTTATCAACGTAAAATCCAATAATCTTTGAACAATTAGGCCTCGAGATGTATGCAGTCCTGGATTTAATTTCCTTGCTGGCCAACCCGATCGATTCGAACGATGCTGGTGACGTGTTGCATAGAAAATAATCGATTTCGACCAAGTGATAAATAAATTATGAAATAAAATGTACTAAAATCCACTTGATAGGTTCCCCAAACGTCAGAGGTAATTGAAAGTAAAACTCTGACTTGTAAAACCAGCTTACAAACAAAACAAAGAAAAAAACGGCATCTTTCGACCTTGTTCGCTGTCACGCGGTTTATTCGAACCGCAGCGAAATTCCGTCAGCGATATCAAGGCAGCATCTTCCATAGGTTCTCACCAGCCAATAACATCTTGGTGGGATTACACAACCTCGCCTAATTTCACCGTGTCTGGACCAATCATCTGCCCACATCGTATGTCCGGTTGAGCAACAGGCAAAATTAAATTAATCAATCGATGAAACGTCTATTTGTGCATTCCGGCGCATAGCTACAAGACACTATGCATTGGAAGGGCCATCGTGATCTCCGCATTATTAATCAAAATTCTAACAACGAAACTTGAGGATATTCAGTACTCATAAAATGAAACCAAAAAGTAATTGAGTAGCAATAAATCGGCTTTAAGATTACCATTCAACCAAGCAAAAAACTTACGCGTCTGACGGTTTTATACAACCATTCCTGTGGCATTAGTTAATGGAGAGCTGTCCAAAAGCTTCCGTGTTCGTCAGCGGTACCCCCTGTCTCCATTCTTATGTAATTTCGTGGTTGATGAACTGCTGAGACAAACGCTCTAAGGTCTTCGAAACCCCGGTGTTCAAATGGCCTATGACCAACACTTTGTCCATCTGAAATATGCAGGTCACATCGATTTCGCCTTCAAAATGGAGGAGGCACACGTGTTTTGTATGAACTGACCAAAGTCATCCCGTCCTTTGGTATGCACTTTGCGCCCACAAGTTGTAAGGTCGTGCTCCTGGATATGCAGTCACCAAACACGCCACTTAAAATCCAGGGAGAAGCACCCGAAGTTGTGGAGCGCCTTGAAAGTTGTATTAGTTCTGACTGTGGTGTGACAAACGGGGTAAATTCACGAATCTGTAAGGCTAATTGTTGATTTGGAACACCTATAGCATCAAAGCGATGCATCCTTGAATTTCGAGGGACTCGTGTATCGGGCTACGGTATGGGCTGTTTTGTTGTATGGCTGTTCGAGCAGCGGAACTGAGGCGTCTTCAGGTGTTCGACATTCGTTGTCTCGTGACCGTAGTTCGTGTGGGTTGCTGCCGGCGGATCCGTAATGAGGCAGTTAGAAAGTGCGTCTTCGGTTGTGCAACGGGTACTTCCGTTGAAGAATGTGTCCAGCACCAGAAGCTGTGTTGCTTAAGACATGTATTACGTATGCCAAACCATTGTTTGCCGAACAGAGTGCTGTTTTCCATGACTAATTCAGAGTGGANGAAGGAGATCACGAAACGCTTGGGTGCTGTCGGTGCTACTCGCCTTCCAGGATGGGGAACGCGTGCTCCTCACCGTGCCTGGTTGGAAACACTACAAGATATGGCTGCCAACCGATGTCAGTGGCGTTCTTGTTGTCATTTTCTATCCAGATTGCCTAAGTGAGTGTCTGGAGGTATAGGCACCTCGGGATGATTGTGGCAAGCTAGCACCAAGTCCCTTTCCCGTCCACCTTCACCATTTTCTTCAAAATAAAGCCTTTAACTAAATTATGGTTCTACGGCAACGAACCATTGGTGCTGAGCGCTGATTTTAGTCTTCTGTTGCTGAGTCCCAGATTAAATGTTATGCAGCTCAGGTTTCGCAAAACATCAGTAACTAAAATCCCACTGTGATTAAGTCAAATTCACCTTTTAATCAGGCTTAATTCTCAAAATGACCGCATTCATTCGGCACTTTCAAAGATGCTTCCACGAACCGCCGCAGTCCTCAACAAATCTTGAAATTTTACTGGCAAAACAGGAATGCATCAAGCGATTTGCAACAATGGAGAATGAGTGAGACATTTCAGGTGGAAACTCCTTAATTTCATCCTCAGCAACCAAATTTTTGGAGTGGTTACCGCTTTTTTGAAGGCTAGGAGTGGCTTGCCCTGTGGAAAGTGCAATCACTGTCCTTGTCTAGAGGGCGAGATGGCCCAAGTAGTTAGAGCGCGAATTTACTGACCGAAAAGTTCGTGGTTCGAACCCGACCTCTGTATCTCGATCTCCCCTGTATAGGCTTGGGCAACCTGGCAGTATCCCGGCCCTCGTGCTTCCCTTGGGTGGCGTGGCAGCGAAAGGGTGCTACAGCTGAACGATTTTTTGTCTAGATTGGACACATTACTCATAAAGTTGACGAATACCCTCAGGTAGACGCGGTCTTCCAGCTTCTGTCTGGCTTATGTTCTGAATTAGACGCAATTTGTGAAAATACCCCCACATGAAAACGACTTTGTTTTAACGAGAGACTCGGCTAAACCGCAGCTAGATCTTTTGTCTCTGAAAACATAGACCTTTATTAAGAAGCACAATCGGTTGATTTATGTCGTCTGGGCTCCGGTTAAAACCGAATTAATTTGCAATTGAGTGTATGTTGCCAAATAGTCTCCATCTTCGCCGCGGAAATTCACATGTTCCGAGGTTCCTGGACTCCGCAAATGTCACCAGTGTTCGAAAAAAACAGTTTGCTGTGACCTTTTGTCCACGCAAACGGTCGTGATTTTTGCCTGGTCGACAGTCCTATCCAATCGGTGGTAACTCCGTAACCTTTGTCTAGTAATTCCCCAGAAAAATCGATTTTGGAGAGTTTGTCAACCTAGACAGAGATGAACTCCATTGAAACAGTATTGTCAAGACATTTCGGTCTACGAAGTAATCCTCGCGGGCTGAAAATGCCCATAGTGAACAAACCTCTTATTTCATAAGGGAAACTACTCACAAGGTTGCTGAAAACGCTTCGACAGCCCACGACCGGTTTCGCCCTTCTTGCTAGGTAGGCGCAGTCCCCGAATTTCCGTCAAACTTATGTTCTACTTGAACCCAAATTTGACTACAGTTTTTCACATAAAGGCTTTTCATGAGTTGAGGCTTGAACCAAAGAATATGTCCGTATTCTCGTCAAACATGAGCAATCTTTACGGAAACAAAACGGCGATTATACAAACGGGACTGACTGTCGGGTTCCGCGGCCCTTCATATCTAACCAGAGTGAATTGTCCAACGCATTTGGTGTCCTATCTGGGCGCGTCCGGACAATTTGATGTTCTAATATTTAAACCTGGAAGGGGTACCTTAACAAGAAGGGCCATCGATCAATGTATCGGATACATTCCTAGGATCGTTGCTCGAGGTTCTGGGCCTACTAACAATTCGCTCCTGTTGTGAACGTATTCTCCTGTTCAAAGGCGATAGGTTATGATCTTCAAAGCGGGTTTTTGAAGATGTGGTCGTATGCTAACGCCTAATGCTGGGCTGAGTTTGCTGACACCTCCGCATCACCATCTTGGTGGTTATGATCCTCTTCTACTTCCCGGCATCAGACTAATGATGGTAGAAGCCGGACTCCTCGAGATT